TGTTTAGAGGTGGGGTCTTGCACTAGCTTAGGCTAGTCTCTAAAATGTGAGCTCAGGCAATCCACCCTCATCAGCCTCCCACGCCCGCCCTTGTAACTATATTTTAATATAGTTTTTCCTTGAGTCATACCTGTTTCTATTATAATTACTTAGAACTTTAAAGCTTCAAAAGGCATACATGGCTTTTACCTCTTCAGTTTTATTAGTATCAATCTAGAAGAAATACTGAAAATACGATTTTTGCACTACGATTTTTGAGTAAGTAGATCATCTTAAGTCATATAGCATAGGTTTATAAAACTCAGTCTGATTTTAAAATTATTTCCTTTTTTATATTCTCATTGTAACCTTTTCAAACCTTTCAGAAACAACAGGATTTATTTATATATTTGTATTCCAAACTTCGTACTGAGCTTTAGTTCTTCAGTACATGTTTTTTGAATAAGTCATTCCAGCAAGTACTACTGAGAGATCTTCTTTGAATTTTAAGTGAAATAATGTTAATCTATTATTAATGTTAATCCAACTCAGTCTGTTTTTATTTAGATTAGACATTTATGGTATGGAGTTTGCCTTGGACATTATAGACTATAGGGTGGAAATGTGCTTCATCCAATTAGTCCTTCTTAGCAGCTTTGATTAGGCAAACTCTTCATATATTAACAGGAAGGGTGGCCAGCAGAGTTAGCTTCTACTTACACAGATAATTTAATAGAATTAAACTGTTAAAGCATGATAGGTCCTCATTTTATGACTCATGTGGAAATAACTTCAGAAGCAAGTTCTGTCCTTTCTTTGCTGTATCTTTGAGGGTTTAACAACTTTTAACTAGATGATCTACTTATTTGGAAACATCTAAACTCTTAGAAATGTTAAGATCTTTCTTCTAGAGGTGATTATAATTTTTGGACAGTATTTGGGACTACGTGTGGTTTGTGATATATAGCTCATTAGGCAGGTAAGAGATTGTGTTCAGTTATTCTCATAATTGTTAGCGTAGATTATCCCACAGAAGCAATGCAAGTGATTTTCAGAAGGAAACTATCAATGTTTACATAGAGTAAATATTTTAAAGATGTTGACATTAGCTAACTTTTTTTTTTCCCTCATTAGCATCATATGTAGACGTGGAATCTGATTTTCATGCTAAAGTTCCTGTTGTGGTGTGCAAAGATCGGAAAAGGTTGGTAACAATAACAAAATATTTTTTTTAGAACCCAAACAACCAAATTTGTAGTGAATTTATCTATAAGAGAGGAAAGTTTTATTTTAGATTTATTCTTGGATTAATATGACTAAACTAGTTTCTGTTTATTAAAAATAGCAGCTTTACTAAATATATGTGAGTAAGAAATAGTAGAATTAACAGACAGTTGAAAATAAAGCACTCTAGGCAAAACTTTAATTTCTTTTTTTTCCTTAAGTTCATTCACTCACCCAACAATATTGAGCATTTACTTATATGTAGGTACTGCTTTGCTCTAGGGATACAAACATATATAAGAAATAGCCCTTCTCAAGTATTTCACAGTCTGTTAGAATCTAGTTTTTAGTTTAGTGAAATTAAATGAATCATCGAAAACTGATCTTGCCTTTCAAATCTGTTGTCTATAGGACAGAGAGCACAAAGTGCTTTTGAAAAAGGAAACTAAGGGCTTGGGGCCTATAGCTCAGTGACTATAGAGTGCCAGTCACATACCCTGGAGTTGGCAGCTTTGAATCCATCCTGGGCCTGCCAAACAACAATGACAACTACAACCAAAAAAATAGCCTGGCATTGTGGCGGGCACCTGTAGTCCAGCTACTTGGGAAGCTGAGGCAAGAGAATCACTTAAGCCTAAGAGTTTGAGGTTGCTATGAGCTGTGATGCCACGGCACTCTACCGAGGGCAACATAGTGAGACTCTT